GTAGGTATATATGCATTCGTATGCATGCAGAACGGTCCAAGGAAGTCGGTGTTAATGGTCCGATTGTAACCTATCATGTTCTTCTTATTGTTGTGAAAAACTTAACTGCTCATATATCGTTGTCAGAATCTTTAGGAACATCAAATGGACATCGTGTTAAAGTAACAGTACTTACATGCTTTGTTAGACATATTTACCACCAACTTCTGAATAGCCTTTGCCGTTCCTTTTTTTTATCGCAAATTATTCCCGTAAGACCTGTCATCACGACGGACGTTTGCGTGGGTGAAACCTCTTCAGGAAGTGTGCCTGGGCTTCTTCTTCGTCTTCTTCGTGTCTAAATTAATACGTATTGTAATAGCATTCACGATCAACGTCCGTTTCATAGAGCAGCAATTACTGCCTCATCGATAGACGGCTTTATTACCTACGATAATATGCAACATCGAAGATGTTTCAGACATAAAATTTTATCTGCGGGTGCAAAAATTTTAACGGAACGTTTGCGATAGTTGTAATTTGTTTCTAATGTTTGACGGACTGGCGTCGACGAGAAACTTAATTATTTTCCGTTTAAACGTGGACGGATGGTAAAACACTATAAATATGTACGTTTGAATGAATACAAACTAATAGTATCCAACCAGAATTTTAAAGGGGGGCTGCAGGGATTCCCATGGGATTTGTCACAGTGACTCGTGTTTATCTCATTAAAGGCATGCAACGCTTGCAAGCATTATTATTACAGTGGAATTCGTTTATTATGACTCCGCCTGTATTAACCAACCGCTTAATATGAAGTAATCGCAGTGTTAAGTTTGATTTTCATATTAAATTCTTTATAGGCAAGTTTGGATATAATGACTCCGTTTACAATGACATATCGTTTATTATGACTGATTCTCAAGAAATCATATCCGGCTATAGTGACCCAAATGATTAATAATAACATTTTTGTTCATTTTTCTGACCCTTCTTATGAATATTGATATTACAATTCATCGTTCTTTTTCTTTTTCTGTTAATAAATATATACAATTTGTAGTTTTTCTCTCTATTAAACTAAATAACTAACCAAAATAGAAAGTTGTTTATTTTTTAAGACTATGTTTTGTATGACGCTCGCTTAGTATGACGTTTGTCATTTCCCTTCGATGTCATTATAAGCGGATTCTACTGTACTATGAAAGCTACATGTGACTTTCCTGAAGAAAATGTGTAGTCTAATTCAAGTCTACCTCTATCTCTCTATGCTCCTGTTCTTGCTCCATTTATGTTTGTAAGTTTCAATTTAAATAGTTTACTTTATTGGATTTACGCGATCATCACGTTTAGAATATAGTGAAACAATCTCTGTAATCGTTTCAGTGTATCTGTTGGGTCAGCATGTTTTAAACTTTAAAACGATATTAACCTCCGCCAATGGTAAGTCACGAGCCGAGGTGGCACAGTATCATCTTCGTCGTGCACTCATCGCATCGCATCCACGGTCGCTCAATGGACATAGAACATTAGAAAGCGCAGAGGTTGCCGCGAGAAGGTCACACAATTTTTCACTCGAAAAACAGATAATACGGTCTGGAGCCTACCTACATACGGATCCATTTTATATGCATTGAGGTGATTCAAAATTTCTTTGCTTTTATCTTTCTTTTTCATTAAGTTTTATATGACAAGAACTCTGGTCCAAGGAGAGCTAATTCATAATAGGTTACAAATGTAGGGATTGTTGAAAACAATTTTCGACTTAAATTAACAGTTCTGTACGTCGTCAAAATCATAGTGGCTAATGCCAGGTGTGTATTTCACCTTTTTGTAATGTAATCCTGCAAACTATTGTGCGTATGAACAGAATATTGATACAAGTGGATGTTACTACTATCCAAAATGAGAAAAGCTGTTATGTAGGAAGAAGAGTTTGCAGAATGAAAGAGCAGGCGGCACCATACCATGTATAATATTTATTGCTAAATATGTTTGAGTGGCGCAACAAAGTTATCCTCCGCACCGAGAAAGCCTGCCGCGGTCGCATTGTCGTCTTCCTTTGCCGCTAATGTTAGCGTGTTCTTATACGGCCCCAATGCGAGGTGATGATACTACTTTTACGCTGTCGAAGTTGTCTTCTTGTCAACATTACTATTGCCGATGTACCTATGCGTTTCGGTGCTGGAAAACTTGGCGAAGTAGCACGACCTTTAGCGAGATTTCTAAAGCGGAAGGTTCTATACGCCAAGAATAATTATTATTATAGTCACAATAGATTTGTGCTAAGTACCGTAACCTTTAGCCGCCTCATTGACACGTTCCTTCGAATTGCCGATTTTATTGCGTTCGATTTTTTTAGTTACTGTATAGATGTAACGATTTTTTTTAATTTTGTGTGTTACCCGAAGCGAAGCGAGCCGAATCAGACTGCAATTTTGTCATATCTATTAATAAATTAATTGCCTTTTAAATTATGTTTGTAACAATGATAAAGGAGGACAGCGGCAATTCTCACTACCGAGTTATAAAGGAGTTCTTTTCAGTTTTGGTTTTTATTTACTTTTACTTATTGCGTTAATAATAATTATAAGCTCGTAAACAGAATGAACAGTTGCCCGATTGAATAATTAGTATTACAAAAATTTGTAGAACTAATAAAATGTCCCAATGTTGATTTAATAGATTAGACCTGTCTTGCTATTTTTGCTGGAGGTAATCGTCGATTTTTTTATTTGGAAATTTCTTTTCTGTGGTATCTATTTTGTATTTCAGAATTCGGCTATTTCACTCGTGTAGGAATAAAAGGTTAAATTTCTGTAGGAACCATTATTTTTATATATGGTAGAAAAACTAGAAAGATTAATCAGAATGTAGTATTGCTTCAGAGGTTTTATGTAAATTAACCACTTTTCTTCCCTCAACAATGAGAAAATCAGTAGCACTGTTTCCTTTTAAGTGAATATAAAAAACCACCCCTTTCTTTTTCCAGAATCCATACCTAGTGGTTCCTAGAATTACAAATATGAATTCATCTAATATATAAATTCAACTGAATGATGGTTAATTGAATAAATCATTGGTAACTAAATGAATTTTTAATGTATCGGGGGAACCGTACAGAATGTTACGGTTTTCACTGATAATAATGTACCTAGTGGTTATCCAGTTCGAATTCAAGGGTTACATAAACAGGAAACAAGCGTATAAAGAAAAAAGGGTTGTACTATTGTAATGATTAAAGTGAACAATCAATGAGTAGTCTCAATATTTATTAGATAATATAAAACTTAATTTACCCTAGTCGGTTTTTAATAAGTCAATTACTTTATCTAATTGAAACATTAACAACGCATGTGGGTACGTTAGACGCATTAATTGGTGGGTGGCGAATTTTTTAAAGAAGCTTTACTCAAATCGTTTTTCCTACCCCGTGTCTTACGCGTGCTGCCACCAAGCGGCGGAAAGCGTAATCCCTGACGCCACCCCCAATCGACTCGAAGGGACGTGTTTAAAAACCGAGAAAAGTTAATTAATTATTCTTAAACCGTTTTCAATTCTGTTTGACTTTCTTTTGAATGATAATAATGGGGTAGTTATTCTCATCATCAACAACTTGTTACGCTTTATGAATCGGTTTTCTTAATACCCATCTTTTCGAAAAAGAATTTGATTTTATAAATCTATTATCTTACATGAGCTGTTTTAATTAACCGTAAATTTGTTTACAATATGAAACGAATAAAGGAACATATAAAAGGAATCAAAATAAATACGTTTTGTTACTGGAATAGGGAAGGAAAACTCAAGATAAGGTGTAGGTGTTTGTAACCATAAACTAAAGTGATTGTTTGTTTTACACATCAAATTTGGTATCTTCTTTTGCTTCATTAGGGGTTGGAAATGAGTAATTCATTGATAGAAAACGTATCTAAGAATTAACAATGTACATTTCCATATATTTGTGATTTATTAGCATTGTTTCTCCTTTTAGGTCTTTGCTATAGTTTAAAATAGAGCCGTAAAATGTTATTTACTCACCAACGTGTATGATGCAGGTTCGGTTTTTGTCGGATATGAATTATGTTCCAACTTAAACAGCAACATTCAATTCAAATATTTGTGTACGTATATATAAATAATGAAGTTCGGTTATTCGCGAGTTTTTTACTGTATTATGTTATGTATTACGTACCCTTAAAACGAGAATAAGACGCTTAAAAACTTTTTCTAAAGGTGGAAAAGTAATTTTTGTATGTGAATATTTATATCTGATAGAATTTTATCGAACATGGTAATCCACCGAAGCTTATTAATCACTATTAGGAATGCTCATACTACACTACTTCAAAGATTAGCTTTACACGTGGATTCTAAGAATAATATCCCTACAGTATTATAAGTACTTTGAGTTGTGTTGCTTACAATAAACATACGATTGATAGTTTAAACATTACCCAATTAAAGATGTTTGCATCGCCGTAAGAGGTAGAAAGTCCTTAAAGGAAATTCATATTCCTGTAATAAAAAGAATAATTTAAATCTAGAATAGAATTATATTTAAGATAAAAAGGATAAACACGAAGATGAAATGTTTAGCTCAACTTTCAAAAACGAGGTTATCCGCATCAAATTGCTTTAAACGCTGTTATTAGAGAATGAAAAATGCACCTAAAGCTCATAACGTGTTCAAGATTAGGTATGTGCATTTTCGTCTTGGTTGTAATATTATCGGTGGAAGCAAGAAAAAAAGCAATCGGATCTGCCAGTTGAATCCTGTAGCGCCAGCCACTTTAAGGAGAAAGCTTTCGGAAAGCTCCGGTCGAGTCCGGGTGTACCGTGTGCGTACCGCGGCGGCCAGCATCCTTTTTACCCCCTCCCGTGATCGCGGAGCGCGCATCGCATCCCTTCTTCGAGGGTAGTACGGCCGGTGGCTAGTGAGTGGCCTGTGCGGAAGCGACCGAACGACGCCGACGTGGGCCGAGCTGCGGGCGGACGGTTGTCGCCCGTGAGTTCGGCCGCCTAACACACGCGCTCGGACCACTGGCTACTCAGCATCACTGGTCCTGACCGGACACATGGTGAATAGAGCGAGCGCGACATGCTCAACACGTAATCATCACGATGTCATCCTTCTTATAGAGTTTCGAATGTGTTACGGGGTAATATAATCATAATCCGGACCCGGATCTACGAGATCAATTCATTTATTTCACGAGTGAAAGACAATTGCAAATAAATTGTTAGTGCTTTCGGCAGGAACTTGCGATCTGCAGAAGAGTGTCGTGAGTTGAACAGCAATCAAAAAATTACAGAAAAAAAAAGCATGATGTGACAGCGAAGCAGTACCTCCGAAGAGAGAAATATTTTTGTTGGTTGGGTCCTGTGGAGAAGTCCAACGAGAACGAGCCAAAATGCGTATCAAAATGCCAGCAGTCAGGATAGCGCAAGGTAACTTTTGTTTGCGGAAAATTGCAGGAAAAATGCAGCGAGACTCGCGTGGCTCGAGCACGTGATGGAAGTTTTTAATTAGAATTCCGGGCGGAGCGGGGGTGAATGAACACTTGAGGGAGGGAATTGTCTTGCTAATAAGAAAAAGTTATGATAATGATTTTTGCACAGTCGCTTGCGCAACTTTTTCTTTAGCCCCCGTCTTGTTCAGTACTCGACAGAGTTTTACGCCGCGAGCACTTACAATCGTCGATTGCATTACGGTATACTTCTTGAAAGCTCCCCTTTTTAACTATTAAAAATATCTTAAAAAAGATAAATTCTGTAAATATCAGGCTTAATAATCAGTCTTTTTAAAAGCGTCATTCTTTACTGTCAATTTCTTGGAAACTCCTGAAAATCTTGTTATCTTTTTTAAGTTTGCAAAAAAGATTGCAATTTTCTTTGCATTCAAATTATTAAATTACTAATTTTCGCTGTCATGCCAATAAAAAGTTGTACCTCTGTTTGTAATTTGTTGACGAATTTCCTTGGTTTCGATCCTTAATAAGGTACCAAGGATTGTATATCAAGGAAGCTTTTCCTTCATTTGGTGATTAAGTGCATTTGAAATTCATCAAGTTATGAGAATTTGCGTTTTAACTTTATCATGTTGATGTTGATATGACGTGGACAGTGGAGTACTTTGTGTATCTTAAAGCAAATATAGATTAGAAACAACTTATTGTTTTATTGTTCAGGTGAGAAAAACATGACTACATATGTAACTGTAATTTGCAATAAAAGTTACTCACTTGTTATTCTTCAAATGCTAATTTTTAGAACAATTTCTACAAGACTTTGTTTAGAAAAGAATCGCTATGCTGTGAAATAGGCATAATCTTTTTAAATTCTTCTGAATAAGAGAGTTTTGCCTTTATATTGGTAAAAATTAGTTTGTGTAAAACTCCGTCTAGATAATCGTAAATCTTCAGGATTATTGAGCTTTGAGCCCACGCGTGTCGAACTGCATTTCATCTGCTACGTTACTTTTAAGAAGAAACATTCACTCATAGCAAATCCAATCACCTAAACTGTTTAAAATAAATTTTTCTGAAGTTGCCTGACTCAAAAAAAAGTTTATTGATACACTTACACTTAATCATTCTAAAATCTATCCCAGTCCAATTTCACCGTTTTCAGCATATAAACAAAGTGTCTTAATCGCTGAACATTCTTGTAACTTTAATGAGAGACACATCGTACATAATGTCTTGATTTAGTCTCGCTCTCACCCCTTTCATGTCGAAGGTGTTGGTTTGCATACACACTTACACACACAACACACGCGCTCATCACCTTAATTCATTCAGAGATTATTAGTCGCGTGTCAGTGTACAAAGCCGAAGATGGGGTCATCATTCAGAACGCGTGCCCATTTAACAGTGAATCTTCACTTAATAAACCCTTCAGGCCGCGAGCGAGACGGCTACCTGGCCTCACGTTTTTTATGGACGCAAGGGTCAAAAAAGAAAAGGTACACATTCGTGTTAAGAAGTCACTTTACATGGGCATCATTTGAATGTCGAATTATAAATCTGTTATAATTGAGGAGGCAGAAATTTGTCTTTTAACGGACCTGCCGAATTGCACTGTATTATGAATCATGAGAGGTGATGCACAAAGTAAGATTTATTGTATTGCTTGTTAACTTTTTGCATTCTCTTTCTTAACAAGAGGTCTTGACTTACCAGCAAAAATCTTGCTATTATTTATTTTTACTGGCTTGGGGAATCCCCATAATGTATTTTAGTTTCTTTTAAATGTCAGAATTTCAAACATTTAAATTTTCAATTGTTAAAATTGAATAACATTAAACGATCTACTACACTTTTTTAGTTGTTAATCTACGTCAAAACCTACTTGGTTTCACCGTATCTTATTTTGAAACATTGTAGAATTGTGCCCAAAAAGTAAGAATTTTTGCTAATTACTAATTTCTCGACAAGAAATGTTAACTCTTGCTAACTAAAAGAAATTGTTGTCTATAAACTCAGTATTAATAAATAATTGTTGTCCTTACTATGGAGTCATAAAAACTATGCTTTATAACATTTACTATATCAACGGTGGACAAACTGCGGCCTGTGTGAGGATACAAACCGGCTTGGGAGACTTCCTAAAGAATAATAATTAAATTTTTTGAAAATCAAAAATTTTTAATCAACGTAACTAAAATAATTTGTCTTGTTTAAATTAAACATATATATCAGCATCTTTATTCATAATTTGGTATTAAAATAATAACAAAGATTGTTCTAATGCAGTAATTGATTATGCAAAATGAAGGTGGATACTCATAATAGAACCGAGCATCTTCTTTTATACGTTTAATACCTTAAACATCGGATTGCGGACAAGAATTTGAAGTCACTTAAGTCCTTTCTTTTACCTTCCAAATATAGGAAATAATAATTGTGCCGAATATTTGTTCGCTTCAAGTATAACGTTCCTTAAAAGCTAATATGTAAAAATATTTTTAAATCAAGTTGTAAAGTTTCCTAGTTTTATTCTGTTATTTGAAGTTCGACTATTGTAATTCATTACAAATGGTACGAGAAATAAACGTAGTTATTAATTAACTATGTTTTTTATATTTTCAAAAAAAAAAACTTATAAGTAATAAGAATGAAGAAAATGTCAATTTTCTACTTCGGCCCGCGTACTTCAAGTAAAGCTTTATCTGGCCCCCACTACAGATAAGGTTGTCCTCCCCTTTATATAGGTAATTTGGGTGAAAATAAATTATCCTGTTATGTCCTTTTCGCAATTAAGTACTCCGTATTATTTTATTTGATGAAGAATTTCGAAAGCTCCATCACGTATGACAGAAATTTTCGAAATTCTTAATACTTAAAAATTTGATGTTATTGGATATTATTATATATATAAGAGCTTGCAAAAATGTTGTTTGACCATAAAAGTGCAATTCGTTCCCGGTTTGAATAACAATATATCATGTGTGTGTAAGTGTAGTGCCAAGAAAAGGCGTTAATCTAAACCCTTTAGGTTCGCACGGTGTCTAGATGTTACTGGTCACTGCGGTCAACTTGTCCATTGTAAACGAATTATACGGATAACTAAGTCTTTACTGTCCAGGTAGAAGATAAGGGAACGGCTCTTCCTGTATTTTCATTGTATGAACATAGGTTGCTTTTATTGTGCTTGAAATTGACTTTTATTTTGCTTAGAATGAGGTTGTAACTGGTGTCTTTGCGTAGGCTAACTGACAGGCCCACTTATAAATCTTTATAGTGATGTAGATCAAGGGTAGAAATTATTTTATTCCATTTATACGGCATATACATAGATCATAGATGAACTGAAACATGAATTTGCATTACACAGACCTACTAAATCGTTAAGAAGTTTAATTAACTAATGATTTTTTCTGGAAATATCTAATTCGTTTGTAATATTACGTTTATTACACGTAAATAATGAGTATTAGACCCTAAATTTGGTTCTAGATTGCGTTTGTTTTTAAGGTATTTTTATTCCTTTTTTTCTGTACAATAATTTTGAAAATGAGCAGTTTCTAAGTTTTACTTCAATTAGATAATAATATAATCAGCCTAAGGTCAATTTTACTTTGTTATGATCCTAATTAATATTTTTAACAGCATAATTTTATGATTTTGTTCTTAGAAATAAAAATCAAAGTACAATAGTATCTGTAGAGTGTTATAAGACTTTATGGTATTAAAATGTGTTGCGTTTCAGTGTGTTTGTATTAGTTTATGTTCGTTTATTTAACAGAAACTTAATTACTAAAACGGGTCCGTAACATTATTTCTAAAAATAAAGGAAATATATTACAGGTACTTAACATGCCGACTGTTTTTCAGAATTGTGTGTAACTGTGAAACTGATGGCTTAGGTGTGTGTGATGATAAGCAAGCTGATAAGTGCTTTATCGGTAACGAAAAATATGTGTACATTAGTTTACGTAACGCAAACTTGAAAATGGTGAACAATACCTCAAATCTCTGTAAAATACATTGTTACTTATTGTTGCAATACAACATGTATGTATAGGTATTTTTTTTTAAACGAGGTAAACTGTTGACAAGGCGTATTTCGTAGAGGTTTTTGTAGTTTCGATTATGCGAAAAATTGAAAGAAACGGAAACAGGAAGGCAACCTTAGAACACTTCATTCACGAGGACGTAGGTAGGACCTATTTACAGCGCATCGAAAAATTTGATACTTTAGACGGAGGGTCGTACTTTCAATTGTCTCATTTAGTACACCTCACATATTTAGATCAGATTGATACATTGGTTATCGTGAAACTTTGGTGCAAGGTGTACGAATTTTTATCACTACAACTGTTTCATATTTCGTCGTGGGCGAAAATGTGAAAATAAACTTTATAAAGAAAATTATTTATTGTTATACGCGATCAGATAGATTGAAAAAGCCAGCACAATATTTAATTTTTGAAGTTTTCATTTTGTCTCTCTCAGTTTCTTTCGTAGGTAAGATTATTTAAGCATGATCACCGAGCGGTATGGGACAGAGGTTTAGACCATCCGTCTGCCTTGGTCCAAGTTTTTCTGTGGTTTCCTTGGATTACTTAGCCAAATGCATGGGGCAGTAATATTCCGCAGATAATCTTTCACTCTCTTTTGTCTTCATTTCGTCCGTTTCATCTTTTTCACCCGAACCACCACCACCCACCCATTCCCATGATTCCTGCAAGGAGGCTGAAGACGGTCTTTCGCCATACCTTCCGGTGTAGTCCGGAGGGACTGCCCGTCCGCCAGCATTACTGGCAGGTGGGAATGAAACACTCAAAGGTTTTTTTTAATCTTCCATCATCCGAACATCAGAGATGGGAGGACCTCTGAAGAAGTTGGCCACTCGTACTAGCGAAACGTTAGTTAGTACCTCCAACACACGACGGCCTTTAGGCTAGAATCAGAAGAGCATTAATATTATATTTACTCAAATATTTA